ATTTAATGGGACGTAGTTGAATCTATCAGGAAAATATCACGTAACATGAATGAAGATTTACATTGTGGATTCCATCAACACTGAATAGTTGTCACACCTAAGTTTGAAACTGTTCACACGCAACGACATCCACAATTCCTCATGAGGTTGAACCAGGGACATTTTAGTGTAAAGAGTGATGGAAGATGAGTACAATATTTTACTGATAGCGCTGATCTAATAAAATTCATATGTTTTAGAAATCTAGTACACACAAATCTTAGTAGGATCGCCACGTACACTCGACGATAGTCTAGTAATATAAATAAAGAAAAAAGGGAAATATGCCATTATGACAGAAGAAAAATGTCAACTTGTTTGAAAGGAAATCATCAGTTTGAAAAAATCCTAAAAAATAAAATCAAAGTTATAAAAATGATTACTCTTTCCAGTTTAAAACAAGTAATAGTCAAAAGTTTAAACATGTAAATGTTGTATATCGATTTCCTTCGACTGTACACTTGTATTTCGTTATGTCACCAATGTTATCTAAATGAAAACAGATACAATTCATTTGGGTTTTTATCACAACTCATTACATAGAATATAAATAGTTAAAATGTGTTAATGTCAACCACATTTTAAACTCCATACACATACGTACATTATAGACTATCTAATTCAGCACACAAAATATACATTAACCTGATGACTGCATTTTTGTAGTGCATTTTTAAAGAATAAAAAATTTAATATCATTGTGGTATAAATCATGTTAGTGTAACTCAATACAGTTCCTTGGGATTCTACATAGAATGACTTTTAAAATATGAAAAAATATCCATTTTTGTAGGACAGAAAAAAAATCTAAAAACTAAACCGCAAAACCCTTTGATCAATTTATATATTCATTAAATGGTAAATCCAAAGGAAACTACAAACAGAAACAAGGTGAACTAATAAGAAAATGCGTAGCTCACATTATACAACGATATGGTGTAATTTTATGGCACGGATAACAGACTAGTTATCGTTAATCTGATACTCAAGTCTACTGAGTTTACAGTCATCAAGACTAACGATTCAGTGTACAAATTATTTAAAATCTATGTCATACAACGAAGTCAGTGATAGGTGACTGCTGTATTGTACTACTATTCTTATTCAGACATATTGCAATACGACCAAAATACTGAATAATAATTTATATTTTTACATACAACGTTCAAATTACAATCTAAAGAAATATCGTCATTCATAGAGTATAAGTTTATCTCATACAAAATAATAACAGAACCGGTTTATAATTCCCTTCAATCAACTCTCACGTGAGTAACCAAGTATTGGAACTGAATCATTCAAAAATGAGACGGATTTCGATTACTTGAATACAAAATAAAAGATTCCGTTTTACGACAGCGTTGTTGATAAGAATGAATTGTATAAATACTAAAGTGTATATTTCAAATAGAAATAATTTGAACTGAATTCAGTAAACTTTATGATTGATATTTATGGAAAAACGTATAATCTAGAATTGAAAGCAGACATCAAAAGGATGAACAGCAGATGGAAACGACTGGGAAGGATTGTCTACGACATAATTCGATGGACAATGATGGCGGGCGGCCTATGCTCCTCAACAAGGGGTAACAGGCGTAGGTAAATGAGCATAGTCTAACAAAGAGCAATATATTCAAAACGGCAAAGATATCTGCGCAACTCGATTTCATCTCTCTATGAATCATGATCAGAAATTAGAAATCAAAAAGCGAAATCGAACTAAAGAGAAACTATAATGATAATGGGCATGATAAAGAAGAAAACTGGATAAAGGAATGTAAATCACAGATAAGACAGCGAATAAAAAGTCCGAATCATATTTACATGGTTTCATAGTAGATAATATTCTGTTGATTAGATTAAATGCTACTGTCATTACTAGTCTAAGTGACAGCGGCGAAATTTAAGAGATATAATGGGGCTTAAGCCCATTAGTAGGGTTTCCTGCTGATGCTAATGTTACATTGTAACCCATAATATAATTGATTCTCATGATGAGTTCCAATCGAGCTGAAACATCGGAATTTACTAAAATATTTATTCAGTTGACAATAAAAAAGCTGGTTAACATCTGACACTGAGGAAAGTTCTATTCAGTTATCGATCGAGGGAATTTAGTGGGTTTTTATGAAAAATAATAGAATTTCCATAATTCTCTTAGTGGTAGAAAAAGGAAAAGCAATTAAAACTTTCATAAAAACATTTAATTCATTTAATCCCCTATCTCGTTACATTTCTATATGTGGTTTTCTCACTGTATTCAATAAATAGAACTAATTTCAATTATTCCAAATGCGTTAATCGAGTTTTCCTTATGAGTAAAATGTCTTATTCTTACTATAATGATTAAAATTGAAGTTTATTCGTACAGACAAAAACAATTAAACATATCTCATATTACAATAGTAGAACAACAAATGAATACTTGTATCGCACAGGATTAAACTATTCAACAAAATAACGAACCCTCTTAGAAATACTCAACTTGAAATAAACGATGAAATCCCCAATACTTCGATACAGAAGTGTGCCTACAGACTGAGAAGTGCAGACTGTGATTCATTCTATATTGAAGAGTCTTCTTGTGAAGTCATGACTTGTGCCAAAGAACGTCTGAACTACACAAAAAGACCTCCAAATAACCCTGCATTAATAGAAAGTCTGTAAATCAAAATGATAATACCAGTACAACGATCAAATAGATATTAATAGTATCGAAATAATCCTAAAACGATTTTCCACTTATAAAGAAAGGCGACAGAATGAACTTTTTCATATTTCCCCAAACACCGCTGCGCTTAACAGAAAGAAAGGCCTAAGGATCTATTTATCAAAATATCTACACAATTAGTCCTGTCCACATCTCACAATATTAGAAAACATATCAGTGCTCCTAACCGAACACTTCCATATTACAAATATCACAATTCTTATACCTACCAACATACGCACAATTACAAACAGCCATGTCTCACACAGTAAAAATAAGTGTGACCGAAATGTCACAACAATATTAACATGATCAGACCTATTTTAATTTTTACTATGCTAAAAATATTCTGCTTTGTGTCCTTTGTACTATTTAAATTTGTGTGAATTTAATTTGATGTTAATTTTACTTTCCTGATGAAGCGGTTTAAACCAAGTTACGAAACACCAGAAATCTAATTTTCTACTCATTGGGACTTTAGAAATATATTATTATCTTTCGTGAAATTAATAGATAATAATAGTGTATGATAGAAAGCATAATTTATGATAAAACTCAAAGCGATATCATAAAGAATCTTCAAAATCAAATTATATGAGGACAGGAAACGTAATACTAGTCAATACATCAGATTTCATAATGTTCACTTTTTCCAGAAAACAAGACGAACATATATTTATGTTTGGGTGTGTATATACGAAAAAATATAATTAAAGGGTGTCAAAAACTTCTGAAGAAATAATATATTTGTTTCACCTTGACTTTCTCTCTCACACACACACACATTGTTTATTGACCAAATTTTTACGATTACAAATGTGGAAACGATTATTTGGTGAAAAATGTTAACTGAAATCATATAGTAAAACAGGTAAGACAAAATATTTGATTTGAAAAAGCACTTTATATGGTAACATTTAAACCGCTGATCAACACCTTTATAACCTCATGTACTAAGATTAGTATTATTAACACATAAAGACACACAAAGCAAAGAATACACGAAAAGAGTTGGATATGAGCAATCATCTACCACTTTCCAATAAATGATTGCAACAGATACAAAGTTTGGCACTCACTTATTCTAACATGATATCGGGTAGATGTAATGGTTGCTTTAAATCAAAATCGCATATTGAGCAGGGACCAGAGCAATGTTACTCAGTTTTTATTGCTGATTGAAGAGTGGTGCTCTTCAATTGATGTTAGCCTGTTAGACACATTCGGCTTACAGATGAGCTAATTAGCGAGAAATGTTAGTAAAGATCTTGCTACTGGTTGTTCACAATAACTTATCTAATTTGATCATAATCAAATGGCAACAAAAATTAAACAATATTCGGTTAGATTCTTCCCTTGAAATGTGATACATGAAAACAAGAGTATCATATTTAGTGCTAAAATGAGCTGTTCAGTATTATTAGAACACAATATATCCCGTTTGAATACTCGCTAATATTTCATGAAAACACATATAATGCCATTACGGACTATTCCCAACATTAAAATATAATATCTATCGTACAAAAACATAAAATTCGGATAATGTTTTTGTCAAGTTACGTAAGACATATGGATCAATCAAAGTTGGGTATTGTAAGGAACAAAACAACTCTATAGCTATTTCGTGTAACCAGTATTAGTGAATGTAAAGACTGATCTTATCTATCTATCCTTACACTTTTGTGAACCTACTGTTGAGTTACACAGGGTGGCAACTCGAAGTATTCGGCAGTTCACGTACATACATCAACAAACAAAACCTTAAAGCCTCACAAACCGGTGCAGTAGTGAAGTGGTTAATGTTTTCATCTCTATAATTTTTACACTATTAATAGACAAATTTAGTATTTGAACAAATCCCAAAGATTCAATTTCATAAACTCTAATTAATAAAGCTAAATTGCACAAAGAGGATTAATAATCCCTGAAAACTTGACGATTGAATTTACTTTATGTAAGAAAATATAGATATTTAAGCCTTCAATATTTATGAAAAATAAAAGCGAGTAGAATAATTTGAGGACAATCAGATCATTCGTTTTATCTTAAGACTTTTCAAATCAACAAACGAATGTTCTTTCTTTAAAAAAACCAAACGAATACATAAATGTTTACCAGATTTTAGTAGGTTTCACGTACCTTTCGAAATTAATCAGTCGATCAAACAATAACAGTGAACTAAAAAACCCAACAACAAGAAAACACAACATAACAGATACTCGACTAACAATAAAAACAGACTTACCGATCATCTCTTCCTAAGTTACGATTAGATATAAAAAGTATTTCCTTTAAAAGTTCGTTTTGTAGTGCCTCTGGGCCGAATTTCCTATTTTGAAAAAAGCATGATCAGTAAAATAAATTTATATGAGTGAATAAACATAGTTTACTTCATAGTTAACAGAATTCACAAAACATCAAAATTCTTTTTAAAAAGTGGTACATAATTATTCTCAATCAATACCGTTTGAATAAAGGGTTAAAAGGACTACGACGATTACCTGGATATTTCATTCGACTTCGCAGTATCTCGAAAAAAATTGACCCATTATTCTAATGAAACTCATAACCATCAATAAAGTTTGCACATCTAAAGTGCTTTAAAAAATATCTCACTGTAGAGACAAATGGTGTTTTTCAATAAATCCGATTCTAACGACTACCATTACCATTAACTCAATCACTTTTTTAGTTTTGATATATACCAAAATTAAGTTTATTTTCTCTACTAACTTGATTAGCTTCATTCATAATACCTGCAGACTAAACGTTTTAACAAATCTTCTAACTAAAATAAACTATAACTCAAAATGGCACAGTTTGTTTGAAGACCTGAGCGTTTCGAACACAGAAATGGACTATTAAAATATTTTAAATTCTCGATTGCAGTTTAACAATCTTCGAATAATTTCACTTTGATGAGAAAAATCAAAGGAGAAAAGAATAACTGTAGTGGATCGACCTTGTTTTATTCTTTGGAAATCTCTAAATTAATAGAGTTTGCGAAAACAAAATTAAATACCCCATTTAAAGAAACTTGTTATCCATAAAAAAGCAGAAAACCCTAACTCAAATTAACTTCGATACAGAAAGATCAATATTTTTTTTTAACAACGTAAACGAAGATCATTTTCAACAAAAGAAAATTTAAAATGTTAATTTTAAACCAACAACAATTGAAATTAGACCACTGAAAGGTAAATTGATGAAGAAAATGATCAACTGAATGAAAAAATATATATAAATATGTATGTATATGACCACTTCACATAACTGAAGCCATCAGAATCAACTTTAGAAAACCTAACTTAGGTATTCAAAAGAAATATGTTCAACCTTTGTAATTACCTTGATCCAGGATTGAATTACGATATATGTAAATTGGACATTGTAAATCACCTCAACCCCTCCCCGATTTCCGTTTATATATCCCTTGCTCCGTTTTTATATTAAACACTCATCTTTCCCAATCCATGTGAATTTCTTAATCATAACATCTATCTTATGAAAGATTATATTCACACGGTGTTATTATCACCAGTATATCCATCAAGTAGACAAAATTATCCTACTATGCATTTTATTTACAGGATTTACTTTATTATAATAATGGCTATAACTTGACACCTTACAACCTTCGAAAATGTTTCTAATGCACAGATGACACAATTCTGAAGTATCTACGACGTAACAGATGCAAAGGTTTACTACTTCTTAGCACACAATATTGTCTAATTCAGTGGAATGACTTAATTTGGCCTTTGTAACACAATAGTTATGGATTCATAACAACAGTCTGATGACGAAGTTATGGAAAACAAATATTTTTTTGTTTCTGAATATTCTATTAGAATTTCAAACCGCCGAAAATGAAAAAGTGTGGTAAAAAAGCAACATTAGGTTGTCTGACATCGTCAAGCGTCATCAAACTTTAAAATAAGTAACTTCATCCTAGCAACTGACTATGATCCGCATTTCAACTTTAAGAATGAAGTAGTTGCAGACCAATGACAGTGGATGGTGGTCACTGTTATACCTGACTTGGATTATGGTTCAGTGTTACCTGCGGAACCTGTAGATGTTACATGAAATTAGGATGAAACGGAAAACTAGGACTCTCTGATTATCAGTAATTCCTTGGATTATTTCGATTTGTGTCTTGAACTACAAAACTAGATATACGTAAAGGGGGCAGTCGGATCGACTATCTAGATGTAATAAAAAATGAATAATAACCGTATGTCATTTCACAGCTGTTAAGCATCTTAAATATGACGGTACTATATAAGGTCAATAAAGTATAGAAAAATGAGTATCAAATAAGAGTGGAATATTAGTGTATACAAAACGAACTAATATTGTATAATAAGAAATGAATAATAGAAAATAATAAATTATTCTGATGTTGGTGTTTAGAATCGAATTTTGACCAGTCTTTGTTGCTATATGTGCATCCTCTGTAGATTACCTTTATATACACTCATAAATGTCCCAAAACGCGAGTCCTGAATTCCATAGCTAGCTACAATCTATTTGTTATAATAAGAGATAATACGTTGTTACTTAAAACCATTCCATCGGATTTCTTACCATATCAAAGCAATATTTTGATCATCATATGGAAACAACTGCAAAGTTAAGTACTTAATAGTTCTTCTATCTTCAGTTATCAAACACTTCGACAGCTGCAAAAACGATGAAAAGAATAATCACATAGCAAACTTACCCACTAAAACACACACACACAAGAAAATGAACTAATGAGACTGAAATAACCAAGGAAAATTTGAATAAGTAATCCATCAAACTGTGTACTGATATAGTCATATTGAAAATTTATTCTGAAGTTATTTTTATTTTTTATTTTAAATGTGATAGATAATTAACATTTGCTCCCTCTGTTTCAAATCCCATTTTTAACTTGATTGATTGATAAATAAAGTTGTGATAGTGATTTTATATTAAATAAGATGACTTGTTTTTTCCTTTTTAAATTGTAAACAAGTTACAATTTTGATTGAGTTGTTAAAAAAAGCAAGTTAGTTATGTATGTTTTTCATGCTAGTGTTTTTGTTTTAAAAGATAATGATTTCATACGTATCATGAAAAGTTATCTGTACATTCTCATGGTGTACAAATCATTAGTTATACTAAACATTATGGCATCCCATTTCAAAGTTACTTAAAATCTGAATTAAAATATATAATTACTAAAGTGTAAACATCTTGTACGAAACTATTGAGAAAATTTCGTTTCCCGGTGATGAGCTGTAGTCAACAAAAAATATTATACACTCACAAAACTAACAGTAAACATTTTTTGCACGATTATGAGGATTGATAAAGATGAATGTCCAACTAAGAATGCTTCAAAGAAAGAGAGCAGGACAATGATAAACATAAATAAGTTTTTAGAAAGGGAATGAGTCAATAATATATAACTTGTGTAGTTATACATCAGAATAAACGAAGAGGTAAATTACACTTTGGTTTCACCGACTATCTAAACAGTTGGAAAAAATAAACCAGAAATGTTCATCAAACCAAAGAAGAAACTCAAAACTACTCCACCTTAAATTCTTGTCATTTACTCTCTAATTCCTTAAGCTGAAATAACAATCAAGTGTTATTAATTATTCAAAATATATAATGAGATAAAATAGTGAAGATAATAGTAATAAATAATTCCAATAATAAGGGAACATTATTTCAAACTTTTTATAATGATGATAATGATTAGTATTGTCATTTGCTTTTCAGATAAAATGTGACATGTTGGCAAACCTCCACCTTCAAAATATCTGTGCATTTGTCAGTTACAAAGAAAGTTAGGGGCGGTCAAACCAAAACGTGACGTCAGTCCATGAAGTCACCAACTTCTAGTCTTAGCCATCTTGATAGATGCAGACTATTTGATTAGGGTCCACGCGACGATCATAACCAATGGTTGGAGACTCTGGGTGACATGGCTCAGAATCGGTCACAATGGCGTAGGTGTATACAATCTTCGTCTTCCCCTAAACCGTGAAATTAAAATTGCTTTATACGTTTCTTTCTACCAACTAATTCTTTCTTCCTGCATTATATCCTTTTATTCAATCTGTTATATATTACTACCATTGGAGTAACTACTTCTATGAATTTAGTGATAATCTTGTCGTGCTAATAAGGTGTGGCAACTTGGACAGATGCATATATGTGCCTGGTCCTACATTGCAGCTGACTGACTGAATGAATGAAAAAGCCTATTCATATACTCTTCAATTCTGTGTCTTTTTTTCTGCGAAGAATACGTTAACGCATGAGTATACATATTTTTGAACAGTAATTACCGGGTACTTTACTTTTTGATTACAGAAAGTGTTATGTCAGTTCAGTGATTATGTAGAACTAAAAGGCACCATTAATCGCCATTAGTGTTTTCAACGGTGATTGCATATATTTAACACATATTTCTGAAGGTCAATTTTAAGTTACATTATGCAATTGGACGAACGTTCTCTACAATTTATCTAAAAAATATAATCGTCCCATCACTCTTTGAAATATAACTATCACTCATTTATCATGGTCAATATGATAGAAAAAGTCTTTATAGAAACTTTATTTACCAATAAGATAGTTTTCAGCTTGAAAAAACCATTGACCTTATATATCTCATTTGAAACAATACAGTAAATAATATGAATCGAAAACACTTCAAATTAGTACCAAGAACTTTTAAATCGGCTATCAGGTTACTGCAGTACAATAAAGAGAACACTTGAACAGAGAAGAGTCGTTTGTAATTTTTCTTTAAAAACAAAAAGATTTGTAACTAGTTAGTACACTAAAAACAGACAAAAATCAGTCTTGAAAAAGCTTGCTGAACTAAACCACAATTTCTCCGGCGAAAAACAACAAACATTAAAAAGTAAGTACACGCTAATCCCAGCAAAAAGTTCACAAGAGACACGCAGAAATTATCAATAAAAATAAAATAATGCTTTTGATTTAGGTAATTAGAAAAAAGTAGTGAAGACACATATTCAATTTCTATTATTTACCATAATATAATTAATGCGCATGAAAAGCTTTTCTATCAAAAATATACCAAAAAGACAATTAAATGACTATTTTATTTTCATTGGTGCCAAACAGTATTTACCGCGAAGGATTAGTGTAATATATGCACAGAAGAGTGTATTAATAAGTATCTCGTGTTCTGTTTAGTTTCTACCTTATAATCAGATTATTTGTCCCGAATTTGTAACAGACATTAATCATAATTAATTTTATAATCAGATGTCTATAAATTACAATTAATTATTTGATATAAAAAGCGTCCAC